CCTGAGGGGGGAGGGGGAGGACCTAAAGGGCTCCATCCCGCCTCCTGGCCTTGGAAGGGGCTGGCAGCACTCCCAGGGAGTTCCCAGCCAGCCTCTGCTCCTCTGCCCACCCCAGAAATGGCTCAGTTCCACATTCAACTCACAAGGCATTGTTGCCGGCTGCTGGCCTGTTGGCACCCTAAGGAAGCTGTTTCTTAGCTTAAAATGCCCATGAACTCCCTCCAACTGGAAAGCCACCCCAACAAAGTTTATGTTCACGGAGGGGCTGAGCTCGGCCCCTCCGCGGCGCAGTGGTGTTTGTGCAGGGGGCGTCCGTGGGCGATATGCCAAGTGTGTTCTCTCGGCAAGGCCCGTTTTTGGCCAGGGCCCTCCGGGAGCCTTTGGCCACCGCCCGTGGGAAGCCCACAGTGCTGGGGGCAGGTGGGGGAGGGGTGTCCCTTTGCTGAGGCTCATTTATGTGTCCGGGGGAGGAAACCTTATTTCTCTTCCACCCCCAGGCGCTTGGTGAGTCTTGCTGAGGAGTTAGATAGGATCGGGTAGTTTAGGGTCAGGGCCACGGGGAGGGAAGATGATAGATGAAGAGGAGATAAGCCAGATGGTCAGGATGTGAGCGAGATGGGCAGAATGTGCCGTAGAGCTGCCCTTCCCCCGGAACCCAAGAGTGGGAACTGAAAGCGGGGAGATGAGGGGAAAAGGAGATCGGCTGGTGCTTTTTTGCAAGAGCCGCCTGACCCTGTCCTGTTTGCAAGGGAGACCACTGGAGGGTGAACTCTCCCCAAGTGCGAAGGCTCCCAAGGGCGGATCCTCCATCCCAGATGGTTCAGCAACAGGCCTGAAGGGCCCCCGGGCATCCCTGGTCGGCTCCAGCTCGGACTGTCCTCTCTGCCCGGGAGCCCTGGCTGATCCTGACTGTTGCAGGAAAGGAAGTCAACTTCCTCCTAGGGCCCAACCTCTGTTCCCCACCAGAAGCAGTAACCCCTGAAGCCTGAGGCTAGAAAAGGTTTACAAATAATTACAGAAAACCTGAAAACACCGGGTCTCCTTAAGCCCTGGAATAGCCCATGAACTCTCCCATCTGGGGAGTACGAAAACCCAATGGGCAATGGAGACTGGGACAGGATGTCGGCCTAATAGGTGAGGCGGTGGTACCCTCACACCCCATAGTTCCCAATCCATGCCCTTTGCTGTCTCAAATCCCTGGTGGCTCTGAATGGTTTACGGTATTGGACCTCAAGGATGCTTTTTCCTGAATTCCCCTTGGCCCAGACTCACAATATCTCTTTGCATTTGAGGATCCCTCTGACCAGTCCACCCAGCTAACTTGGACTGTTCTGTCCCAGGGGTGTAGGGAGATCCCCCATTTGTTTGGTCAGGCACGAACATGGGATTTAAATCAGTTTACTTGCCCGCAGACTAAGGTTCTACAGTCTGTAGCTGAGACCCTCCTCGGTGCCCCAGCTGCGGAAACCTTGCAGGAAGGCACACAAGCCTTAACTTCTTGGCTGAGAGAGGGTATAAGGCCTCAAGGACCAAGGCCCAGCTCTGCAAGAGCTCCATAAAATATGTAGGGCTAGCCCCTGGCGTAGCTCAGTGGTTGAGCATCAACCTATAAACCGGGAGGTCACGGTTTGATTCCCGGTCAGGGCACATGCCCAGGTTGTGGGCTGGATCCCCAGTGTGGGGCGTGCAGGAGGCAGCCGATCAAGGATTCTCTCTCAGCATTGATGTTTCTATCGCTCTCCCCATCTCCCTTCCTCTCTGAAATCAATAAAAATATATTAAAACAATATTTAGGGCTAAACCTGACCACACGTACCGGGATCTTAGGGGAGGACAGGATCAGACCCACCTCTTCCTTTCCACTCCCTTGAACGCTCAAACAAGAGGATTTCTGGGGATCACAGGATTCTGTAGGCTTTGGATCCCAGGATATGGAGAAATAGCCAGACTTTTATATCAACTAATGGAAGAGACTCAAAAGAATGAAGGCCAATTTATTGAATGAGAGCCTGAGTCCAAGCTAGCATTTAAGCAGCTCAAGGAGGCGCTCCTCCAAGCCCCAGCCTTGAGTCTCCCCACAGGGCAGGAACTCAACCTATACGCAACCCAAAGGGGAGGGCCAGCCTTCAGAGTGACCCAGGCCCGAGGGCCCGCTCAACAGCCAGTGGGATATCAGAGTAAAGAACTGGACGTTGTGGCCAAGGGCTGTGGCTGCTGTGGTGCTGCTGGATCCAGAGGCCACCAAGTTAACCTCAGGAAAGGACCTGAGGGTTCTGACTGCCCATAACATCACGGCTTTACTATCCTCCAAAGGAAGCTTATGGCTTTCGGAGAGCCGTCTTCTCAAATATCAGGCACTGCTATTAGAGGGACC